GCTTCCGTGCTCGTGAACACTGCGTGATTGCAATAGCTAGGTATTGAGACAGGATGCATGCCCTTGACCTTTAAGCTGATAGGATTATGTTAAAACCTCCCCTCCCCATCTGCCTATAAAAGCAAGTGCTTGTGTGAAATAAACGAAACTGCTTGACAGGACCCCCACTGCATCTGAGTGTCCTTTAACTGGGCTGGTTGGGGCCGGCGGCTGTGCTCGCCTCTCTTCACGCTCTCTTCCCCGGTTCTCTTCCCGCATCTCCTTCCAAAGGGGACCGGAGGGAAAGAGTAATCCGGGCCATTCGCTCACCCACCAAAAGGAATGAGGCTAGGGCTGTTCGGGTCGGCTGGCGGCGGACCCGACAAAGCTGGAGGTATAACACTACCTGGCTTTAAACTATACTACAAAGCTATAATAACCAAAATAGCATGGTACTGGCATAAAAACAGACACATGAATCAATGGAACAGAATAGAGAATCCAGAAATCAACCCATACACCTACAGCCATCTGATCTTTGACAAAGGTACCAAGTCAACACACTGGGGAAGAGACTGCCTCTTCAGCAAATGGTGCTGGGATAATTGGATATCCATATGCAGGAGAATGAAACTAGACCCATACCTCTCACCATATACCAAAATCAACTCAAAATGGATTAAAAAATTACATACACACCCTGAAACAATAAAACTTAAAGAAAACATAGGGGAAACACTCCAGGCAGTAGGACTGAGCACAGACTTCATGAATACGACCCCAAAAGCACGGACAAGCAAAGGAAAAATTAAAAAATGGGATTATATCAAACTAAAAAGCCTCTGCACAGCAAAAGAAATAAATAACAGAGTTAAAAGACAACCAACAGAGTGGGAGAAAATATTTGCAAAATATACATCTGACAAAGGTTTAATTTCCAGAAATATACAAGGAACTGAAACAACTTTACAGCAAAAAAACAAGTAACCCAATTAAAAAATGGGCAAAGGAGCTAAACAGGCATTTCTCAAAGGAAGATATACAAATGGCCAAAGACACATGAAAAAATGCTCAACATCACTCAGCATTCAGGAAATGCAAATCAAAACCACACTCAGATACCATCTCACTCCAGTTAGGATGGCTAATATCCAAAAAACTGAATGATAAATGCTGGCAAGGTTGTAGAGAAATAGGAACTCTCACACACTGTTGGTGGGACTGCAAATGGTGCAGCCTTTATGGAAAATGGTGTGGAGATTCCTCAAACAATTGCAGATAGATCTACCATATGACCCAGCAATTCCACTGCTGGGAATATACCCAGAGGAATGGAAATCATCATCTTAAAGAGATACCTGTACTCCAATGTTCACTGCAGCACTATTTACAATAGCCAAGAGTTGGAACCAGCCCAGATGTCCATCATCAGATGAGTGGATGTGGAAAATGTGGTATATCTACACAATGGAATACTGCTCTGCTATAAAAAAGAATGAAATACTCCCATTTGCAACAACATGGATGGACTTAGAGAAAATTAGATAGAGTGAAACAAGTCAGGCACAGAAAGAGAAATACCACATGTTCTCACTTATCTGTGGAAACTGAAAATAAATAAATAAATAAATACACAAACCAATGGGGGGGTGGGTGGGAAGAAGACACAAAACCACAATTCCTTGAGGTTGTTAAGACAAGCAAACAGATATGAGGTTGATGGGAGGGAGGGGGGAGGGAAGATTCAGTAAAGGGACACAAAAATCAATCACATTGTATATTGATAAAATAAAATTAAATTTAAAAAAAAGGACATATAAACTCTTTAAAGTGATTGTCCCTAGGGAAGAGAATTAAAAGTGAGTGTAATGTTCATAAGGTATACTTTAACATTTTACATGTACAGTATAGCCAACACTTACACAACACTTAGAATATGCCAGGCACTATTCTGAGTGATTTCAAGATATCATCACTTTTAACCATCAGAATGATGTGTACTGACATCAACACTATTTATTTTTTTCTTTTTCTTTTATTTTCTTTTATTTTTCTTTCTTAATTTTATTTTGTTGATATTCAATGAGGTTGATTATTGTGGCCCATTATCTAAACCCCCCTCCCTCCTCCCTCTCCCCCCTCCCACCCAACAATGTCCTTTCTGTTTGCTTGTCGTATCAACTTCAAGGAATTGTAGTTGTTAAGTCTCGCCCCACCCCGGGTTTTTTTTGTGTGTGTGTGTGTGTGAATTTATTTATTTTTAGCTCCCACCAATAAGTGAGAACATGTGGTATTTTTCTTTCTGTGCCTGACTTGTTTCACTTAATATAATTCTCTCAAGGTCCATCCACGTTGTTGCAAATGGCAGTATTTCATTCATTTTTATAGCTGAGTAGTATTCCATTGTGTAGATATACCACAATTTCCGTATCCACTCATCTGATGATGGACATTTGGGCTGGTTCCAACTCTTGGCTATTGTAAAGAGTGCTGCAATGAACATTGGGGAACAGGTATACCTTCGACTTGATGATTTCCATTCCTCTGGGTATATTCCCAGCAGTGGGATAGCTGGGTCATATGGCAGATCTATCTGCAATTGTTTAAGGAACCTCCATACCATTTTCCATAGAGGCTGCACCATTTTGCAGTCCCACCAACAATGTATGAGAGTTCCTTTTTCTCCGCAACCTCACCAGCATTTATTGTTCAGAGTCTTTTGGATTTTATCCATCCTAACTGGGGTGAGATGGTCATCAACACTATTCAAAGAGGAAGAAACTAAGGAAGAGAGAAACTTAAATATTTCACCTAAAGTCACCTAGTTAGTAAGTAGCAGAGCCAGATTTTGAATGTAGGCAATCTAGTTTCAGAGTCTGAGCTCTTAACCACTACACTATAATTAAATATTACAAAACAAATGATTAATGTATAATGGTATAATAAAAAATAACAAAAAAGGAGAAAGTATTTTCTTTTATTAGAACTCTATTCTTTTCCTTCTGTGAAGGTTAATTCTAGGTGTCAACTTGATTAGATGAAGGAATGCTGAGAAGCCTGGTAAACTATCTTTTTAGGGGTGTCCATCAGGGTGTTTCCAGCAGAGATTAGTATGATGGCCTGAGTGGACTGGGTGGGAAAGTCCCGCCCTCAATGTGGGTGGGAACCATCCAATCTGATGGGGGTCTGGAAAGAACAAAAGACAGAGAAAAAAAGGTGACGCTCTCTTTCTAAGCGCTTGAGCTGGGATACACTATTTTCTCCTGTCTGTACACAACAGAACTTGAGACTTCAGCTTTTGGGTTCCAGGACTTACACCAAGGACACCACTGGATTCCCTGGTTTTGAGGCCTTTGGACTTGGACTGAGCCACGCTACTGGCATCCAGTTTGCAGAGGGCCTATTGTGGGACCTTTCTTCACAATCACATGAGCTAATTCCCCTAATTCCTTCTCATATACTTATAACATATTCTGTTCATTCTGTCTCTCTGGAGAACCCTGAATAATATACCTTCGTAGCATGTATCACAATTTTTGGTTACATGTTTGGTTTACTTGTTTACTCTTTCTCCCTTGCTTGTTGTAAGTTCCCTGAGGGCAGGAACCATGCAAACTTTGCTTACCATTGTTTACCCAGCAACTTCCATAGTATATCAAATAACATAGGCACTTTATAAATATTTATTTAAAAAGTGAATAAATGAAATAATCCATTAGAAAATCAGGGGATTTCAGATAGTCACTGTGATATAGTTTAAAGCAAACTTATTTGGAATAATTTAATTAGCATTTGATTGTTACAGTTGCAAGGAAGAAAAAGATTATATTTATACTTTAAGTAGAATTACAGTTTATAGGTTATTTATAAAAAAGATTTATGAGTTTTTATACATGGCTCCCATTCTAGCACAACTTGTCGATAAGAGATGGAAAAATGACTGAAGTTTACTCTTTTACCACTATATGTACGAGAGAGGGTAAGAATCCAAAGGGATTGCTCTTTTGCACTCCACAGATGTGAGAGTGTTAGCAGATGGTAATGGGTACAAGAAACATCACTATGTGTACCTATTCTGGAAAATTATTTTGGTAACCTACGTAACAGAAGGTATTTCAGGTAAGGTCAGGGACAGACAATAGGGAAACTAGTTTTCACTGGCTACTAGAGAAGAGAATAATCATTGGGTTTAGGACTATGATTTTATGATATACTCAACTGGCTTAATCCAAAGTAAACCTCATGTCCTTGGTAGTTGTGCCTCTTGTAGTGCCCTAATTCATTCTGGGGAAACATCCAATTTGTGTCTTACAAAAGACTACCTTTTGGAACCCCTTCCCTACTGGCCTGAAAAAAAGCAAAACAAAACCAAAAAATCCCTAGCACTCCTCCAAGGCCACTTTTACCCTAATGGGTCACCATATACAGTGAAAACCCTTGTTTTGAGTCTGAAAGGATGACTGAAATCTCTTGTACAGGTACCCTTGTTACCCTCAATAACCTGGACTCCAGGATTATTGAGAGAATAAACTACAGCAGAGAGACTAATTGAGGGAAGAAAACAACAAAAACCAAAGCAAACAAAAAACCTGGGATATAAGATTTCACTAACATCTAGTAAGGAGTCAACAGGATTCTAAGATCTTAGAAGCCCTCTCACTCTAGCCTCCCTCTCACACATTTCTCCTTGCTTTGAAACTGAACAGCAAGTTTCTCTTAGTATTGAACACCTGGTCTGGCCAGAAGGGCACTAACATCATATGAAGCAGCTGTCATCTCTCCTTACTTTAAATCTAAGATGGGAAAGAAGCAGTTAGAGGCCATAAACCAAGTCCCTTCACCTTTAAAATATCCTTCCTACATTCTAAGCCATGGGTCTCTCTCTATACACATATATGTATATTTTATAGCCTCTTTCTTTAATAATGCTATAAACTATATAGGCCTTTCTTCTAGATTTTTCTTTCTATTATTAAAATACTTAAATGATAATTATATTTTGGTTTCATTTATCTTTGTACCTTTTCACCATCGCAGGATTGTAAAGATAGATCTTCATAAAGAGTCTTTCCTTCTCATGATAACCATAAAAAGGCCTGAAATATAAAAAAAAAAGATATTTCAAATTATTTTCATCAATCAGCGATGAAATATGCAACTTATTGCCCTAATTAGACTCAGCTGGCCTAATTCAGTCTTATCTTTAAATACTACCCCCAAAACCCAAAAAACTATTTTTAAAAACCAAGACCTTTCAATTAACCTTTCAATTAACATATGAAATGATGAAACATTTTAAAAAGTTTTAAAAACACCACTTTAAAAATAACTAGGGATGAAAAGAAACAACAAACCACTTACACCTTAATCTCTACAATCATTACCTTTATTAAAAAGTGGCTCTTTTTTCTTTAGTGTGACCATGTATGAGAGAAACAGACATTTCAGGCACTTTCTCCCACTTCCCACTTTTTCTGTCAAAAACTAAAGTTCTTTACCAACAAAGTCCTTTAATTAACAGCACTTATATGACTTTTCTTATTCTGCTCTATTTATTACTAATTTTGCAAGTTCACTAGGCAGAGACAATTTATATATTACATATTTGTACATATATATGTATGCATGTAATATACATAGGAATGTATGTATAGACACATAGCAACATTTCAGCAGTTGATATGAATGAGTCTTTAACACACATCTAAACCAAATGAAGCCTGTGCAAATTGTGTAGACAGGAACTTAAGACACTGAAAAAAACCATGGACTTATTTAAGGACCCTAATTATGTTGGGGCTGGATTTTTCTCAGGGCATCAGCTGGAATGAGGAAAGGGAAAAGCAAAAAACTACATGGCAGGGAGAGAAATCCTCAATGTAAGATAAAATAAACTGGCTCATGTCATTTCTGGAAGATCTGAAACTATACTAATATCTCTAATATACAGATCACCATTTTCATAGATGATGTAAGTAAAAACAATATATGAACAGGTATGAATGTGTACATGAAATAAACAGCTTTGTGTCTGCCTAGAGTTGTTCCGTAACTAAATGGTTAAATCTTTAACTGGTTAAATCTTTAGGTGTATAAACCCAGTCACTCTTCATTTAAAAAATATTGTCCCCTTATGATGGGCACCAGATAGAACCTACTCTCACTAGCAGACCACCTTTCTCTGTCATATCTGATAGCACAACGGACATCAAAGAAAGGAGTAATTATTTGGGTATATTTAAACGACTTTTTTTTTAAAATAGCTATTTCAAGCCTCTAGGTGAGAGCATGTGTATGATTGCTACAAAGTAATTTACATTAAAAAAAAATCCAACTAATTCCCAAGGTTTAAAAGGTTTCTCATGTTCCTCTTCCTCCTGTCTTATGTCATACCTTTTCCTCCAGCCATTCGAAACATTTCAGCCCTTTAACTTGATCACTCCTCAACCAGTCTGCCATTCCCTCTGCCTAGAAAGCTCTGTCCTGGACTTCTGCATGGCTTGCTTTCAATCTTCACTCAGACCTCTGCTTAGTTTATTCACCTCTTCAGAAAAGTCTTCTCTAACCATCATTCCCTATCTCTTACCCTTCATCTCTTTTACTTTTTTTTTGACATTTACTACTTCCTGTGTAGTTTGCTGCTGTTCATCCCATTCTGTCGCCATGAAGGAAGGGGTGAAAGAAAGACACGTTAAATGAATAATCTCTCTCTGATTGGCAAAATTCACCTCTATAGTCCTTCCTCCCCCTATGGTATTTATATATTTGTGTGTGTGTGCTTGTATTATTTATATATATATATATATATATATATATAAATTATATATATATATCTCTGCCTGGAGACATGGGTTATCTTTAGCCAGATAACTGAAAAACAAAACAAAATAATTAAATCTGCATTTGTGTGGTCCATGAAATCTTTGCTTTGCTTTGGTTTTGTTAACAATCTTTAAAGGTGTTAATAAACAATCTTTTACAATTAGAAGCTAAATATAAATCATATCTAACTATTAAACCTCTAAAAGTCTTTGTAAATTTGGGATTCTGTTTTCATATCTCTTGCCCCAAAATATAGCCTAGAAATTCTATACATTCAGTTTTCTCCTCCTTCTGGCCAAGACAGTCTCTACGTAATTTTACCCAACACTCTTACCTACCGCTATTGGCTTTAGTTGATTTCACCAACAGAATTTCTCACCAGGGAGAGTCTTTGGGGAAAACAGAGTAGAGTGAAGAAGAGTTTGAAAATAGATGTTTTTATGCTTAAAAAATGGTACCTTATAGCTTTAAATATATCAACACGAAGGAAAATAAGCACGGTTAGCGAAAAATCTCAGCTGATACAGATGGACTGAGAATTTCTTTATAGGAGATTCTCGAATTATGGTAGCTCAGTGGCAAGAACATGTCTACAGAATTCCATAGAATTCACTTGAAATGAGTAAGTATATAGGAGAGTTCTTGGAAACTATCAAGGATTTTTTTTTTTGTCCTTTTTGTGACCAGTAAGGGGATCGCAACCCTTGGCTTGGTGTCACATGCACCGCGCTCAGCCAGTGAGCACACCAGCCATCCTTATATAGGATCCAAACCTGCAGCGCCGCACTATCCTGAGTGCACCACGGGCTCGGCCCAGGATTTTAAAAAAATAAGAAATAAAGCTGATGATTATCTCTGACATAACTGATGCTGTAATAGGATGGGTGAACTTTCACCTCATTTATTTATTCAACCAAATAGTTATTGAGCCATTTCTACAAAGTGTCCAACACCATACGAAGTGCTAGAGATCTAATGATGAACAATACAAACACGGTCCTTTTTCTCATGGAGTTTTTATGCTAGTGGGAGAAATACATAAAAATTAAGTAAATAAAAATTAGAATAATTGCAAATACATCAAGTGTTAAAGGAAGCAAAGAATGGGCTGAGATACAGAATAATAAAAATACCCTACTTATTAAAAAACCCTATTTTAAGTGGGGTAGTCAAAGAAAACTCTGGAGAGGCTGGAGAAGGGTAGAACACCGAAGAAAAGGAAAGTGCATGTATAAAGAACAGGTGAAAAAGAGCTTCTCAATCAGAGGAACTGAAAGAAGACCAGCTTTTCTGGATGGAACATAAGTAAACAAAGTTACAGAAGTAGGCAGGGTTCAGATCACATAGGCTGTGGTTAGAAGTTCAAATTTTATCCTATGAATAATATGAAGCCATCCAAGGATTTTAAAAGGATCTAGTTTACAAGAAGACTGCTTTCACTGCTCTGGAATGAGACAAGAATAGATGAAGGGAATTCCATTAAAACAACACTGTGGTGGTCCAGAGAAAGCCTAGATAAAAGTGGAAGAAAGTAGATTTAAGGTCCCTACTTGGATTTCATACAAACATAAAAAAACTCAAAATGTTCCAGTATGAGTTCCAGATCTCTCCTGCCAGTCCGCTCCATCTGTACCTTCCATCCTATTAGCAGCACAAACTGAAAATTATGTAGTCATCCTTGACTCCTCTCTCATAACTCTCACCCAATCAGACAGTAAATCTTGCTGACCCTTTGAATAGATTCAGAAGCTTACCATTTCACACTACTGCCCTACTACTAACCTAGATCAAGCCATCAAATTTCCTCACCCAAAGTAATGAGAAACTTAATCTCTCTTTGCTTCTACCTTTGTCCCCCTACAATCTATCTTAACACAGATGTTAAAGTAAATCCTTTCAAGTCAGACCATGGTGGCTTGAAATTATGCAATAGCTCAGAGTAAAAGTTAAAAGTTCTTAGAATAGCCTACTGCAGTGATTCTCAAACTTTAGCATGTCTTAGAATCACCAGAAAGGCTTATTAAAACACAAAATGCTGGTCCCCATCGCTAGAGTTTCTGATTTGGTAGGACTAGGGTGGGACCCAAGAATGTATTTCTACCAACTTCCCAGGCATGTTAGTCCAAGTCCTCTGAGAAGTAAATGCCAAATGTGTGAGACATTTATTAGGAGAAATACCTGTGAGAGACAATATGGAGGAAGCCATAAGAGGCTGAGATAGCCACCAGACCTAGATATTGGTCTGATCCCAAGTGAAAGAGAGAGGGATGGAGGGAAGATCCATGGAAGTATCTTCCATTGCAATGTGATTCTAATTAAAGTACATCAAGGCTGTTGGGGAGTCCTCAAGATACTGTCTCAGATATCCAAATACAGGGAGTATAGTTGAACAACCACTCCAGGTACTGTACATTGAAATCCAATCCATCGCTTCATATGAACTGAAACTGCTTTCCATAGGCTACTCTTAGCTGATGACTGAGCTTGGCAAGGAATTTAAGGTGAAGCTAATGTTGGTGATACTAGAACCATTGGCCTACATGATCTCCATCCTCTCATATCTCTCTAGCATCATTTCATCCTACTCTTCTTTACTCCCTCCATTCTGACCACTGGACCTCCATGCTGTTCCTATTCCCTTACCTCCTTCAAGTCTTTGCTCAAATGTCATTTACCTTGTCAATAAGACCTTCCCTGATTACCCTATCTAAAACTGCCACTAGTCTACTTCCCCACCCCACACTACCTATCCTTCTTATTTAGCTCTACATTTTTTCTTCTACAGCACTAATTATCATGTAGCAAATAAATAAATTTATTTCATGTTATATGTATCATTACCTGTTTCCCACTACTAGTAACCTCCATGGGGGGGCAGGGATTTTTGTTTTGTTCAGCAATGTATCCCATGTGCCTAGAACAGTGCCTGGCTCATAGAAGGTGCTCAATAGATATTTGCTGAATGAATTACATTAGTTTCTACAGTTCTAGTAATAAGAAAAATGAAAAAGTTTAAAACAAAACCCACTGTTGGACATCTATCTTTCATTGCAATAAAAATTTACTGAAAAAGTTATAGCAAGAAATTCACCACAGTTCCATTAGACTAAAGACTAAAAGTAAAAGAAATATGAACAGAGTATATTCCAATTGGATATGTTTTTCTCTATTAGAAGAGCAACAGAAATAAAGATAAATAGAAATTTTAAAAGATATTATCATATACTTACATTCCGGATACTAATGACACTTTGAACACATGCTGAGCAGTAGAAGATGGATTGCCTAAAGCCACATTAAGTGCTCTGTCGATACTGAATGCCATCTGAGAAAGATAGCTTTCTGGCTGCTGTCCATAACCATCGTATGGCACATAGAGGTAAGGAAAGATGCCATGTAGATGAAGACATGTCTTCTGACCTAAAATGTAACACATTATAAAGTTTAGTATTGAGACGTATTTTAACAATACAAAGCTCAGAATACAAGTCACTTAAATGTTCTAATGGCAATACAGCTTATCTAAGGTAAGAGCTGTAGAAAATTAACCCATAGTTAAAGTTACCTGTATTAACTACATTTTACAACAGAACATTTGGAAGCATTTTGTAAACATAAGCACAGGAGTATTATTTAAATATTAATTTTGGTGAAAACATATTTGACTACTTTACTCTCACAATCCCACTAGTTTTACATACTTCACTGTATCACCATATCATACCACTTAGCACAGTGCTATGAAGTTTACAAAAATTCCCTGAAAATTTACTAAATAAATCAGTGAATGCTTGTCTTGGCATTAATGTTTTTAAACAAGAGACTTTTCCAAGGAGAGACAGCTCTGGGAGAAAGGAGAGGGTAAAAGCAATTCTAGTGTGTAGAATTTTACTATTACGGGTGGGGAGGAGGATAAAAATAAAATTTTGCTATTAGGGAAAAACCCCTAAAGATTAATTGTCTGTAATGTACTTTTGGATATATAAATTTTATGTTTGGTGGAGTGGGACAGGGAGAGACATAATAAGAGGGGGGAACCACCCCCCAAAACAAGCACGCACACTTCTCAGAATGCCAGTCTATCAGCTGAGGTGCAGAAGGGGTGAACGGTACTGACTTGCCAACAAACAATCCAGCACAGTGACGACTAAGAAATATGAGTGAGAACCCACAAAAGAAGTGCCACAGAAATAGTAACATATCCACGACAAGGTTAAGTAAAAACAGCAGCAACAAAAAGCAGATGCACCATTACTCTCATGAATCTGGCAGGTCTGTATGGAAGCGGTTCATGTCCTCAGCGCACTGTCCCTAGATCCCCTTGGGTACATGCCATTTGTCTAATTCAAACAGAGAGGAGAAACAGCAGTGATGAAAGAAGACATGCATTTTTCTCATGCTGTCACACACTATCACTGTGCCGCTCCTGCTAGCACAATCCTCAAACTCCTTCCTCACATCTTATCCCTGTTCTGCTTCACTGGGCCTTTTCTCTTGGTAAGAAAGTAGCTATCTGTTTGATTACCATTTCCCATTTATGATTTAGAATGATTTATATAAAATACATAGAAAATAGTTCTACATTCTGTTGATATCTTCTGTTTATACTTTTTATAGGGAATAATATTAGCTTGTCTTATTCTTGAGGGATAGTTATAACATAATTAACAAATATATCTGGAAGTTATTACATAAACTATAGCAAAATTGGAAATATCAGGCACATAATGGAATAAGAGTTGTATCCCCAGACTGCAATATTCTGAATTGAACTGCCAACCATCATGCTTTTGAAGAATTGCAAATTGTATTGCTGTTATATCAACTTGTTTCTATTTTTAGAAGCAGTATGCTACTATTTTTAAAGGAAAAAAATATATATTTTCAGTTAAAAGTTCTTTGGCCTTTTCATTTCTAAATACAACCCGGTATTATTTCCTAAATATTGTAGTTTTTTAATTCTTCAACTAGGGAACATTCAAATTGTAGTAATAAATTTTAAGAAAATATTTTTAATCAATTTACTGATGATTTACTTGAATGCTTTTTAAACATTTCAAGAATAAAGACTATAAGCAATACCCTTCTGGACATAAACTACAATTTGATTAAGAGCAACTAGTATGCTAAACTATGGGGGAGAGAGGTGGGCAGACAGAGAAGTATTCCCTCTTAAACTGACAAATAAATTCAAGACCAGTTATTACAGAATTGTAGTGTAATAACATATTTTACATGATATCTTGTAAGTTCTTAAGATATTACCTTTAAAGTCAATATATGTTAATGATGGAATTTTGGGTAAAGTTTACAAGAAACAATTATAAAATTTGATTTCTACTAATAATTTATGTGCAGAGTAGAGTGTTCACAAAGTGTCTTAAAAATAATTTTATATTCACTTTTCATATCTCCTGGGAAGTAGGGACCAGAGAAATTCTTTCTATTTATAGGCTTTGGAATTACAACAATTTTGGGGTACATGACTTAGGAAAAAGGAAGAAATGATTTATTTAGCAGGCACTGGGCTAAGTGCTTTACATATATTTATTTCTAAAACTTAGTACCACCTGGCAAGTATCACGAAACTTAACTTTCCCAAAGTCACATAGCTATTAAGAAATTGAATCAGGAATTGAAAACTGATCAATGATATATAAAACCAATGCTCTTTCCATTAAATCATGCTAGTTCAATTTTTAAAAAAGTTAATGTTGGCTTCCTTAATCCTTAATTACTCAGTTCTTATTTTGTATTGTAATTGCATGATATATAAAACCAATGCTCTTTCCATTAAATCATGCTAGTTCAATTTTTTAAAAAGTTAATGTTGGCTTCCTTAATCCTTAATTACTCAGTTCTTATTTTGTATTGTAATTGCCTATTTCCTTATCTGACTCTCCCATTTGATGGCAGATTCTTGGGGAGCTGATACTGTGTTCAAATGAACATTATATCCCCAGGACTCAACACAAAACCCTAATATGTGTTTAATAAAACATCTATTAAAAGAACAAAAGAAGCCTCAGCAAAATAAAATAGTTGCTTAAGTAGAAAGGAATGGTGTGAAAACTTTTGAATCTGAAGAAACAAATGCATGAAAACAGAAGGCTGTAATACAATTAACGGAACTACCATCAGGGTTATAGGAGGACATGGATATATGGGATTGGGAACAGTGCCCAGCTTATTGCACTTTCCTACCCTGAATGACCTGAAGTCCCATTCAAAGCTGTAGTCATTACCTGAACACAGATGTACCTCTCTCTGGTTCTCTTGCAGCTAGGGATGGCTCAGTACCTTACCACCCTTCCTCAAGAATAACCTCCTAAAGAACCACAACACAAGGAATTCTTGGCATAGCACTAATAGATCTAATATAGGACAAGTATCATAAAAGAGAAAATGATGAGAAACAAGCAAAATAAACTCAAAAGTTAAATAATGAAAGAGAAATGTGTAAAAATGAATATGAGAGTCAATTTCTTTTTGGCAACAGTATGTCTTTTATTATTGTAAAATTTGTAGTTCTGTAATAGCATTGCTCAATATTGAGAAGATACAGACCATTTCTATTTATTTCCCTCCACCAGGTCTACCCCACACTGTGTGGAGCCACATAGTTGTAAAGTACCTTAGAGATAGTTTACTCCAACCCCCATCAGTTAGGATTACGTTCAGCTGTGGAAAAACACCCTAAAATCAGTGCTTTAGCATTAAAATGAGCAGCCTCTCTCTCATAAAAGAAATCCAGAGGTTATTAGCTGATAGTAGCGATCCAGCTCTTTTCAACATCTAGTTAGTGGCCTAGTTAAGATGAACTTGTGACTTCAGTCCAGAGACTTTTCCACTATATTACAAGGAGTTCCACATACAGGACTCTTTAAAGAATGTTTTTACAAAATTAGAGAAAGTTATGGTATTTTGAAACCTTTAAATTAAATGATTTGAGTTCATAAAGGATTTAGGAAGTTAGCTATTTCTAGGTAACATGTGGATCAAAACATCCCTACCCCCCCAATTTTATTAAAATACAAATGACAAATAAAAACTGTATATATTTATGGTGTGCAGTGTGATGTTTTGACTTATGTATACATTGTGAAATGATTACCACAATTAAGCTAACTAACATATTCATCACCTCACATAGTTACCTTTTTTCGGTGTGGTGAGAATATTTGAGATCTCTTCTCTTAGCAATTTTCAAGTATAAAATACATTATTATTAACTACAGTCACTATGCAGTACAACAGACCTCCAGAACTTATTCATCCTACCTTACTGAAACTTTGTATACTTTAATCAACATCTCCCCATTCCTTCCCTCCCACAAAAGCCCACTTTTATCATGTCAAACTGAATTTAGGCAACAAATCCAGTAGGGATGAAGATCTTTTTTGGGAAAATAAGCCTATGTACACAGATTTCAAAAATTAAGAGTCTGAATTTTCCAATTTGACTGATGTTGCCTAATTAGAAGCTGCAAAAAAGTTTCAGGAATGTTCCATCAACACTTGTCACAGAGTATAACTGCTGGTTTTTAAAGACACCAAGGCAAAACTTTGTGGAATTGGCTTTGTTTTAAGTAGTCTTTACAACTATGTGTAAGCAGATGCCTCTTTAATAGTGAGTATATGTGCCCTGAATCTCACCTTTCACAGAAACCAGAATTATACTAAACATTAAGGCCTCTGTATCCCAACATTTCTGATGTTGTTTTCCCATATTTTGTTATGTATTTTAAGTGCCTAGATTTGGTCTCTAAATTGTGCATCTAAAATCTTGTTAGCCTATTTACAGCAAAATTATTTGTATTTTTGTAGATCTGTTTTCAATAAACAAAAAGACTAACATACCATTCCTCTAATTCAGGGGTTGGCAAACTTTTTCTGTAAAGTGCCAGATAGTTAAGTATTTTAGGCATTACGGGCCATACTGTCTCTGATACAACTACATAACACTGCTGTTACAGCATGAAAGCAGCCATAGACAATACTGAAGAGAATGGACATGACCATATTACAATAAAATTTCATTTATAAAAACAGGCAAGAAGAGAGATTTGGCTCAAGGATAGTAGTTTGCCAATTTCTGCTCTAATTGATTAGACTTCATCATCACCTGGAATGGAAAAGTTTAATGTCTCCCCACCCCCCCACCTTAAATAATGCTAGTTAAGAGCACTGTAGGAGAATGAATAAGAATTTCATAATTTGCAAACCCCATATCCCAAATCTCAAACCCAACCTATACAAAGTTTTAACAAACCTCTACAGAGCTATAAAACAGAAAAACTTGGTATTTGAGTAGAATAATTTGTGTTTGTTAAGT